ACTATTTTTCGGTAGGCTTCAGCAGAATCAGGTGTTAATTTGGTGTCATTGGTCCTGTTAAGGCATGAATAACTGCCAGAGCAGATTTTATTTAGTTGGGTGCAGAACATCTGGAAATTTTTGATATTTTTCACAAATATCGGAGGAGGCTTTGGTTCTCTGAGTATTGCTGCAGACTACATTACTTCTCGGTCATTTTGAAGCACTTGGAGTAAAGAAAGGCGATTCTTCAATCATTTCTTGCGAAGACGTACCTGGTTGGGGTGAGGTTCTGGTTCTGAAGTGTTCACTTTGGTCACTGGATGTATTTCTCGTAGGTAGCGACGAGTCCTGGCTGGTGAACCACGTGGTGTACTAACGCTGTCTGAACGAGTCCTCTTGGGCACCCTTACTGGCCATCACTTGCTGATCATACCGCATATCATAGGAAAAAAATAAAAAGGAAGAAAAAAAAATTTAAAAAAACAAAAAAAAAAAAAACGATGTCAACAGTAAATATCAACTGATCTGATGTACACTTTAACTTTATTACGTGAATAATCAGAGAGATTCCGCTATAAAATAATCAAAAACTGAGAGAGGAGTTGAGAAGACAACCTTCGCATCATCTGATCCACTCCTTGGAATAGAAATTATTTTCTGACAATGCTGTGCTATTATAAAATGTTTGAAGTGCATTTTAAACGAAGCTAAAACTTAAAGCTTACAGATAACAAATCATAACGACTATTATAGTTACAAAGGTCTATTTATAATATCAACGGTAGGCAATAAAAATCTAGTCACTCCATCTACTTTTATAAACCACACAACCACAGTCTCTGAGCCTTTCAGTTGACAGGATGACTAACTCCAATTTTAGCATTTTTTAGTAACGCCATTTTAGTGATATTTCTGGTGAAAAAGTTATCTATACAGACTAGGTGATTGCATCGTTAAAATATAGAACTGCTAATTAAGGTCTAAATTGTGCCTCTATAAAACATCATTGAAATTAATAATAAAGAATGTTGAAATTGGAGGTAGTCATTCTGTTAACTGAAATGCTCATATATGCCTACAGAGTAAGTATATCTGAATATTTAACTTATAAATGATTAAGGATCGTAGGACTATTAGTTATTTTCCATTGTAAAGTTTCCTAAAACAAAATTACGAGATTTTTATTGTCTTGCCCAGGATAGGTCAAATATTGTAACACTAGTTGTAAGTGGATAATGTTGGGATTTCAAAAAGGGAAAATTCATCAAATTGTTCACTAATTTAATTTTCTAAAAGGTTACTTGATGATTTTTTTTTAATAAACGGCCTATAGATGCCTAATTATTTAAATATAATGTCTTATCTAGAGTTAATACTCTATAGTAAATATATTTAATGTTATAAACATATCCATGAAGTATTTTTATATTTCCCTTCTTCTTTCACACAAGTACAATGAAATAGTATTTTAAACAATGGCATTTGTTTGATTAGGTGGATTTTAAATATTTTTTTCAATATTAGAAAAACATTTAAAAGTTTATATGCAGTAAGAAAATTTCATTCGAAACATGTGATTTCTACGACCTTCTACGATTAGATATTGTTTTTTCTAAAATTCTCCACTTTCCAACAATATATTATACGTATCCTTCTGACCGGTATTTCTGGAGATTCGTTTTCGGCCTAGATATGCATTTTTATTTGTTTCTCCTTTATTTAATTATCAAATTTTTTCAAAAGTTATATTTAGCATTTTTTTGTAACTCAGAATAAATTGAGATCATTATTTTTTAAAATAAAGAATATTAAAGGTACTTTAGAGGAAGACGTACATGAACATTGGGCAATTAGGTCCTGTAAAGTGACTTTAATGGGGATAACAACTGATTGATATTAAAGACTACTTAGTTATACAGTGATAAACCGAGTTTAATTAAAATCGTTAGAGCCGTTTTTGAGAAAATTGTATGAATGTGTTTCAGCGTTGGTGTAAAGTGGCAGTTCCGGTTAGCCGATTTTAAGGAAAAAGTTGCTGTCACATCTAAGGCATATACCTATCTTAAATAAGTAATATCAGTTTCGTACGACTATTCGTTTTTGAGCTAGGCTGCTTACACACACAGACCATTTTTGGTTACTTGGTTATTTGGACTCAAGGTACCCCAAAACGTGTATTCCCGTTGAAAACTCAGATTCAAAAATTTTTGCCATCGCAATACTTACCCTTACTATATATTACATATATACGTAAGTGAAAGTAAAAAGTACCGACCGTACACAAATTAAGCTCATTTTTTTCTTTTTAATTCTTTTGATTCCGCTAATTTAAGTATATTTATTTTATAATAAAACAGAATGTATGAACAATTAATATAGCTTTTATATATTCTGTTGGTTTAAGAGATATGAACATTCATATTAATCAAAAATTAAGAACTTAAATGCGGACTGCTGGCGTTTCAAATCTTCGTTTATTAACGATTATACTCGAGCTCAATAAGAAATTTGAAGCTGTTTGAATTTGATTCAAGCTTATGTAAATTTGTAGTGAACGAATACATGAAAAGCTATTAGAGCGCCGGACTTTGGAGCACATTTCGAGCTTAACTTGAGTAAGGCAGATAATTACTTCAATCCCGTGTGCTTTAACGGCCTCCTCAAATTTTAAAGTATCTACGTGAGATATACGGAAAGTTTAACATTCTTTCAAAATTATTATAATAAATTTCTTCAAGAGATGCATAGATTTTGAGTTTTAGGGAAAGAAGCAATGAAAACTGCTGTTTCTTTTGAAATAAGTATACAGTTAACTTGCGGTAATTCCTCACCTGTTGGTCTTACATTTAAAAGCTATCAACATACATAGAAGATTTTATGTTCTTTAAATTTGTTTAGAGTAATAATTTCGATAACATATATAGTTTCGGATACATGTCCAAAAACTATAAAAAGTGCGGAAATTTCTTTGCATATACGGGTCAGTCAATATCTCACGACATGAAAGCATGGAGGTTAAGATGGGTGGGGCATGTAGCTCGTAGAAATCCATCAGGACTCCTTTACAAAATAATGAATGCCAGAGTAGTTGGCAAGAGACCACGTGGGAGGCCAAAAACCAGATAGATAGGTAGGATAAACAAAGATACGGCTGAGCTTCATGCCGCAAACTGGAAACCAGTAACCCAAGATAGGCAGAGGTGGGGAAGGCTGGTTCAGGCGGCCAAAGATCTACAAGGTCTGTAGAGCCAACAGAAAAAATGTATAGTTTCGGATACATGTCCAGAAACTATTAAAAGTGCGGAAATTTCGCTGTTTTTTGCATATATTTCGGAACACAATCTAAAATTTCGGTATAGAACTTCAACCCAAAACATAGTAAACCGAATAAAAACTGAAACAGAGACTATTTGCTTTTTCTTCCCACACTCTACTATCATTCTAGTGGACTAATTTGATATAATTGACGCCGTCAATTTTCAAAACGCAAACGACATCTTCAGTCGAGGTGAATTCTCTTTTAGGGACATATTCTTTACGTCTTATCAAAATTTCAGCAGTCAGTTCTATCATTAAATGAAATGACAAATGTCGCCACTTAAGTTTTAAGTTTCGTCTAGACAGCAACGGCTTTCACCGACTGACCAAAGTTTGTGTTCAAATGAGGTTTATTTACAATTTAAAACGGTTACTAACTACAAGACCTTCAGTTAAATGAAATGATCGGTAGCTCCTAGTCCTTAACTACCTATCCAGTCCGAATAGTCCGAGATGGAATCCAGCTTTGAGATCGCGTATTTTTTATTAAAAAATAACATATCTCCACTATTTTTCAGAAAATATTAAATACATTTTTTTTCAAACATTCCTCTTGCTTAGGACTATAATAAAGCATGAGAAACCTTATTCTCTATTTGTCAATAGAGTCAAAGTAATGAGGGGTGAGAGAATTAGAATCACGAAATTTCGCTTTTTTGAACCAGATCAATTTCGTTTATAATTTTTTTTAACAGGTGATCTTCGATGGAATGTAAAACGAGCATCCTATATTAATACTTGCAGAATTGAAGACTGATGGTTTTTGACGGAAATATGAGAATAAAACATAACACAGAATATAACATAAAACAGAAAGTTCTTTTTGGCCGTCTTTGATCCTCAATTTTGAATAGTGATTATAGCGCCTCTCCTCAGCCTCTACTGGTTCTTAATACCAGTAATGTTGCTCAGTGCGAGGCACTGGGATCTCCTAGAGTCCTGCCTTTCTTTCCACGAGAGGAGAGAAAGGCTTGGCTCGGTGTTCTTCTGAGTGAATGGGTTCTGTAAATATTGTATAGTATGCATATGTTTTAGTTGTTATTTTGATTTGTTTAGTTCTTTTGTTTATATACATTTACTTTTATTATTATTAGTTTTTGTATTATTTATTGTAAATATGTGTGAATGAGCTCTCTGAACATTATTATGTTATCTGGATCCGCCAGTGAATGTTCATATTCAACGTTTTTTTCATATTTCAAGATTTTTAATTGACTTTGTTTGTATAGTTTTTAGCAATAATTTTTTTTGACGAATGATAATAAATTGATTTTTTTTTTGTGATAAGTGGTATATAAATATCGCTAATGTTAGTGCGAAAAGTCGTTTGTAAAAATTGAGCGTTTTACAGGACAGCATACAAACTGATTATTCTTCAGTTTGCTTTTGCTATAAGTAGTACGCTACTATGTAATATACCAGAGAGCAATAAGATTTGAAATTCTACCAATAAATCATAAATAAATAATCATCATTCTTATGCTATTCTGTAAAATACTCCATTTTTACATAACCGACCTTTTGCACTAGCGATATTCAATTGTTACAATAAAAATCTAAGCATTAAATTTAATGTTTTTTTCACAATACTTACCTCCCTACTCCCTTTGTGACTCCATTTATATTATTCATAAACACATTTTGATTTTTCACCAATAAGTTTCAACGATTAAAATAAACTTATTTTTTATATTTTCTAGGTAGAAAATGCCGGCAAAATTTTAATCTCTAGACATAATGAGCTAGAACAAAAGATGAGATTAGACAAAGACTTTGCAAACCAGATACAAAAGAGAGACAAGTTTTACTCAAAAGTCACGAAACCTGAAGTTGCAAAAACCTTCGAACCAAAAAGATGTTACCCCAACATAAAAATTTCCAATAACAAAGCTGAACATACTAAAGAGTATTTCGCCACGCAAGAGATTCCTGGGTTCGGAAGGCATTGCTGGTACACTATTTCTGATGATACGGATCCTTATCATTACGACATCCCTTCAAATGCAAGAAATCGCAAAGATTTTTTAGGTCGCTTAGCTGACCATATTAACCAAATCGAAATCCGGAAAAAAAGACCTATCACCGTACGTGACATACAAAGGTATCATTCAGGAAATCGTATTTAATTATTTTAAAACTTTTTTTAGAAAATATTAGGCCAAAGGTAACCAAATGTACACAGGTTTCACATCATGTATTATTTATTCGACGTTTCGGCTTCAGGAGCCATTTTCCAGATCCTGTAAATTAATTTTAATTCAGTTGTTATACTTCAAAATACATAATTTTAAAACACATATTAATTCAATAACAACAATAGGTCATATAAATAGTCCAAATTCTATTTAATACATTTATTTTTTTTTTTATTCATAACAAAGCATTTTGGTTAAAATTAATGTAAAATTTATCATCACATTTGGTGACCTTAGGCCTAATATTTTATAAAAAAAATTTTAAGAGAATGGCACCGAACCTAAAAGATATGACTAGAACATTAATTATTTTATTCTTATTTTTCATAAAGAAAAATTACTATCATACGGAAAAGTTGCTGAATTAGGCTGAATGGATTAGATTTATAAAATAGCAAAGTATTACGATTGTATTTAAATATGTTCTATATTTTAGATTCAGGCTTACAACGCGAGATTGGTGGACTTGGAGTGATCCTAATCAGACTTTTGCTTCTAAGAGACCATTCCAGTGGTACCGAAAAAGCAATCTTATGAAAAGGGACGGCTGCAGATTGGACAAAGAATTCATTAAGTATGTATAATAAACTATTTTTGTTTGATAACCAAGATTATATGGTTATAAACTTTTTTTTAAAACATATTTATTGAGAGATATTAAAATCTGTCACAATTAAGGACATTTGTAATAGTGTTCAAAGAGAACATCCACAATAAATAAAAATTAAAAATACAGAAAAATAATGATCCTAAAAATAAATGGATATAAACTAAAATAAAAAAAAAAAAAACTAAGCTAATGAAAATAACTACCAAAATACCCACATGCTTCTCTAAAATATCTAAAAAAAAAATATTCATTCACTCAAGATCTCCGAACCAAGCCTTTCTCCCCACTCATGAAAGGAAAGACAGGACTCTAGGAGACACCAGCGCCCCTAACTCAGCCACATTACTGGTATTAAAGACCATTAGAGGCTGAGAAGAGACACACATACATGGCTTGAGTAGAGAATTTGGCTACTGTCAAAACTCCAATATATACTTCTTCCCAAAAGGTCTCTGGGCCACTGCCGGGATTGTGCAAGGGGATTTGAATGATTGGTAAGGTTTTGATGAAATTCGGAGAATTTTTTTGGGATAAGGTCCAGGACAAATGGGATATTATGATCATGAAATGAAATTAAATGATAATGAAGTGAAATGAATGAATGACATGAAAATATGTTTTTATTATCCTGGGACTGTGGTCCCTTTAGGACAAATTATAGTTACAGAAGAAATGCCTGTGTTGCCATACATTAATTTATATATTTACAAATCTCATTAAAGTTAAAAAAATAGAAGAAGAGAAAAACAAAAAAAATACTTAAAACTTACTGATATATATATAAAGCAAACATGGGAAAATAAAATAGCATAATTGAACAAAATCTTTTCAGGGGAACTTAAAAAGTTCTCTTATCTACATTTCGTGATCAATCGGGTTGGGAAAGGAGTAAGTGGTTAAAAAGAAGAGATTTAAATGAGGAAACTGATTGTACATGTCGAATATCGGGCGGGGTGGTATTCCAGAAGGAGTCGGCTTGAATTATAAAGGATTCGTCAAATGCAGCAGTTCGGTGAGGAGGTGGATAGAGGTCGGAAGTACAGGATTGTAGTGGGACGGGATTGAATAAAATATTTAAATTGTAGACTGTGAAAAATATAGGAAGGTCGCTGAGTTCTGATGGCTTGGTACAGAAAGGTAGCAAGGAAGTAAAGACGGCGGTTGGATGGATAGAGTCACTTCAACTTGGTGTAATACTGGGTTATATGTGTATCTCTTGAGAATCCGAAAACAAAACGTATTGCGCAATTCATTAGGCGTTTAAGTTTCGTCTCGAATTCTCCCGAGAGTCCGTCGTACACCAGTCAGCCATAGTCGAAGTGGGAAAACACAAGAGAGGAAACCAGGAATTGACGAGATTTATATGGAAGGAGATATCGGAGATGGAATTCAGGGTAGAGATAGTACGACGGGAAATTTGGAAGTTTCCAAATCAGGGGGTTTGATCAAAGGTAACACCAAGGTTTTTTACGGAAGTATAGAATGAGATAAGTGAGTTGTTCTGGAAAAGATTGGGAAGTGTCTGTAAGGATTTGAGGAGTGAAGAAGATCCGATCAAGATGTCTTTTGTATTCTTGCGTTTAGAGTAATCCTATTGTGGTTTGCCCAGGTACAAATTCCGGTTATATCTCCCTGTAATTTTTGGATGGCGCCAGAGGGTTCGGTCGGATTGAAGTAAAGGTAAATCTGGACGTCTTTGGCATACAGATGATATTGACAGTGTAGGATAGAGGATGGGAGGTCATTGATGTAGATGGAAAAAAGGGTGGGAGATAAGGAGGAGCTTTGTAGGACACCTCTGAACAAGGGTAAAGATTCTGATGGGGGGTTATTTGGGACTAGGTTTGGTAAGGTTTGATAGGAGAGAAATTGGACGGAAATAATTAAGGGTTGATGGTTTGGAAGTCATCTTCATAGGACGAACTAGTGCGGTTTCCCAGGATGTAGGGAAGGTAGCGTTTTGTAGTGAGTAATAGTAGATATGGTAGAGGATTGGAAGGATGGATGGTAGTGATACTTTGATCAGTCGGACTGGGATGTTATCGGGTCCGTAATCATCGGTATGTGATTTCTGAATGGAGTTGAAGAGGTCATCAGGGGTAATATGGGGGAAAAAAGTGCTCAGGATTAAAATTAAAAGGAGAATACATTGGAGCCGGTATGGTAGGAGAAGATGAGGATGAAAAGGGACAGGAGACAAAGTGAGAGTCAAGGTCATCAGCAGAAAAGGAAATGAACTGGGTTTGAGGTGTGTTACAAACGGTCAGTTTTTTGAGGATAGCCCTCTTGGCCTTGGAGTTTGGGGAGTTAGATAAGGAATGATGGAAATAATAGGATTTGGCTCGGCGTATAGCAGACTGAGTGCTGTTTCGAAGTTGATTGAAGGCGATGCATTCTTCCGGGAGTTGAGTACGTTTAAACTGCCGTCTTGCAGCATCACTTCTTTTCTTGCACTCTCTCAGAGCGGGTGTAAGCCAAGGAGCAGGGAAATGTAGGGTGGTTTTAGTTAGGAGAGGAGCATGGCAGTCGAGGATGGTATGAAGATGGTTGGTAAGGATTTCTACCATCGTGTCAATGGATTTTAAGGAATAAATGGGGTCCCACTGGGTCGAGATCCTGCGACAGCGCTTTGTAGGTGATGGAAGTAAGGTTTCGGAAAGGTATGGCTCGAGGAGAAAAAAATGGGACCGGAATGTTGTAGGAAATCTGGATAAGATCATGGGAAGACAGAAACGGAACCAGCAGGAATTGCATTGGAGTGTAAAGGTAATATGTTGGTTTTTGGATTCATTCGCTTTAATGCGCCATTTATTGCACCAGTGTTCATTTAGGGAGGTGTGTAGATTTAAGGATGCTACGTCAGGATCTGAGTTGGTTGATAGGATTGCGGTGTCATCAGCAAATGTTGCAAAGAAGGTATCGGAATCAGCAGGGATATCAGCAGTAAAGAGTATGTAAAGCATAGGGCCCAAGGGGAACACCGGCTTTGATAGGATAAATATGGGAAGAGGCTGTTCCACAGCGTACTTGAAACGAGCGTTTCGATAGGTTGGATTGAAGGATTAGGTATAGGGATTGAGAGAGATGGATTTTAAGATTGAAGACCAGCCCTGGGTGCCATACCCGGTCAAAAGCCTGTGCTATGTCCAGCATTGCTTGTTTTCTAGGGCTACTAAAATATGATCAACGACCCAGAGTCCTTGTTGAACAGTGGAGTGTTTTGAGCGAAAACTAAACTGATGGGAAGGAACATTTTCGGATTCTATGTAGGGTAGGATTCGTTTTAAACGGATCTTTTCAAACATTTTTGAAATGATTGGGAGTAGACTAATTGGTCTATAGGATATCAAACTGTTGGATGATTTGCCTGGTTTTAGAAAAAATATGATAGTGGAGTTTTTCCATAATAGAGGAAAGTGGGTAGTACGGAGGATGCAATTGTAGGCGTAAAGAGATCATATCCGGGATATTTAAGGTGAATTAATTTTTGCAGTTGAAATTTCATTTCGGAAGGATGAATTGCTTTATGGGGAAAGGAAAAAGGGACAGGTGATGCAAGGAGTCCTTCTACTGTTATGGTGGGGGCGGGATGGGATTCCAGATGTGAAATAAATGTATTGGATAAATGTCTGGAGAACTCTTGGGCTTTATCTTCATCAGATGTTGCCCAGGAGCCTTCCTCTCGTTGGAGGGGATGGAAAATTTGATGAGGATTTTTGTTGTGGTTTTCAGAAGGGAATTTTCACGAGCAGTGAGGGAGGATAGGAAGAAGTTAATGGATTGTGATCTGAAGGTGGCTAATTCCAGTTTTAATACCAGTAGATGAGATGTCTAGTACATTGCCATAATAAGCTAGTAAGGCGTTTGATGTGGATCAGGTCAAGGAATGGTTTTGATCAATGAAAAAGTTGTTAATGTGAAGTTGAGGTAGGATGGACATTTTACTAATTTTTTTGGAGTCTTTTGGAGAGGAGGCAGTCCAGGCAGCTTGTTGCATTGTGGTAGTAAAGGAATTGAAGGCACTATATAGGTCTTAGGGAGTTTTTAGGGATATATTGAGATAAATTTTATCGGAGATGATTTGGCGGAAAAGGTCCCAGTTAACTAGGCCCCTGATAAATGACGGTGGAGAAGGTTTGGGAACGGGATTAAGTGAAACATTAAAAATTAGAGGACAATGGTAAGTGGAATGTTCATTTAGATGTGTAATGGAATAATTGAGGTAACCTAAGCCACTGTGGATAAAGAAATCAAGGATATCAGGATTACGGTTAGGATCTGTGGGCCAGTAGGTAAGAGAGTTGGGGAAAAGGAGGTGAAAACTTTGGGAATTGAGTGCATACAGCAGGCTTCGGCCACGAGAATTCGTGGTTCTGGAACCCCTTGTTATAACATTAGCAAAAAAAATAATGATTGAATAATTCAGATAATTTAATAGTTTAAAAATATATAAGGTATAGATTATAATAATAGTTTAAAAGTATTTTATTTTACTTTTAATATCTACATGAAATGGTTAGTCGTCTGACAATGCTAGTCCATTGTTGCTTTTTAGCTTTAATTGCTGCTTCCTTTCATTTTCTATTCTATTCAAATTAGTGTATAATTGTATATAGAAACTTTCCCACACTATACCTAAACGATCAACCCATTGACCCAACCCTCATATTTCTCTGTTAACAACTTTTTCATTGATCAAAACCTTTTCTGGAATTACCATATTTCGTACATCCCTTGATGATCAATTTCCGCTCTCAAATCCCTTTCGCTATCTCCTTCCTTCATCTTCCCCCACTTTAACTGCAGTTTTGTCAGATTTGTCGGTGGGATCCCGAGAAGTTCCCGTGTCTCCCACCACTAAACTGAGTTAATAATAATAATAATGGGTTCAACTTTTGAACATAACCCTTGACCTTGGTCCGGCTACGTGAATATTTGGCAAAAGCCAAGAAAGTGTGAAATTC